TCAGCCTCCAATGCGCAGCTACCTACCCGACCTCTCCGAATCATTGGTGAACGAAACTGTGACAGCTACAACCACTGTACGACAAGTACGCGGTTATTACAGCCGATAATGATGATGATATCAATAACAAAGTTGTCTTACACCGCTGGGCGTGGTGAACTGGGACAACAGCTTGCCACATACTCGTACCCGTACACAAGAGTTCACATACGGTGCTCTCCGAAGAGATATGAATTTGAAAGGAACACCATTGATCACCAGACACCAGACAGTTGCTGACGATCGACAGAGTCAAAAGCAGGTTCTAGATCAAGGAAAATGACTAACGTGGGACGTTTGAAAGAGTGGAGCTGCCAAAGAACTTGTCTCAAGGTAAATATATGGTGGGTACATCCTCGGACAGGGCGAAACCCAGCTTGATTCTCCGTCAATTCCAGTGATCCATCTACCTGTGAGAAATAATGCCAGCGAGCACCTTATATGTGACGGTTATCAGGTGCGTGACGTTCTAGCGCACTTCCTGAGGATTGAGATAACGGTTAAGGAGCTCCATTAAACTGACATTCCTACATCGCTCCGAATCTTTTGTAGTACAGTCGTCAGATTGTTCGCCAAGACCTCGCCACCTTTGAAAAGTGCGTAGTGTAGACCGTTCAGTTCATAGGCCTTGTCGCGTTGAAGAATTGATATCCCATACTGGATATCTGTTGTTGACGCCGGGCTGGTGTAGATGTTCCAGTTAGGCCCGCAGGATATTTTCAGAGGTTATGGTGAAGGAGATCAGCTGAACTGTTCGTTGAAGTGCTCAGCCCCTCACTAGAGACGACGAATTTGAGTGAATTACCGTTCCGCCTTTCCCCATATAGCTTTACTGAAACCTGGCTTCTTTTGATTGGTTGACCAAATCAGCTGAAATAGGGCGCGGCTGTTGCCTGCAGCGAGTCTCCTCCATTTCTTGGGACTGCGAAATGCACCAGCGTTCTTTATCACTCTTCAAGCTCTTGATTATGCGGTGTTTGAAGGATCTGCATAGACAATCAAAGTTACCAGTTGCTTGTATGGCCTTTCTAGCAGCAACCTTAACGATATCCGATGTTCAGTTAGTCGAGTGAGATGACTTGGACAAACAGTTTTGAAAGCTGAGAACATAGCCACCTTAACTCACTCCGATTCATTCTCCAAGCATTCTTCGTCATCCAATGGCCACGCGTTCCGAGTGGCAGTTCAGATCGATACTCCCGAGTTACTGAAACTTGTCAAAGATGATGAATGGAGTAGCTCTGCTTGTTCACTCATGATGCTGACGGAAAGCGAAGTGACAACCGGGTCAACACAATGGCACGATCAGAGTCAAGTTGTGTACTCCAGAAGGAACGGCAATGTTGAATTTTCATCGGTAACTGATAACCACATGGCCCAATCGATTTCATGGTTGTGTTGCGGTTGAGCTTTTGTGTTGGACGTTCGTACAATCTAGGAACAAACGATGATCAGCACACAGCTCAAGCGGTCGCTTCACATTATCCGTACGCCGAGCATGGACACCACATCTACAACCAAACCGTGCTTCTTCCGGCCTTAGTTGTCCAACACAGGCACTCATCTCCCACCAGGGTCACCATACCCGTCCTACTCGCCGACCGGAGCAGTCGTGACAAATCTCGATAAAATCCGTCCTCCTCAGTCTCAGTCGGATGACAATTCATGGTTGCCAAAGTCGGAGAAGAGGCCTTGGTTGTCATATCCACCTTGGGAGTACGCAGGGCTTCATTCGCGGACCCCCCTCTCTGACTTAAAAGTCCGTGCCCATAATCATCACTGACAGTGAAATCAGAGAACACTGGAGCTTCGATGCCGTACTATTCGGTCAATTTATCTAAATAAAGCCTCAAATTGGAAGAAATATGACACGGAGGGAGGCCTAGGGCTAACCCGCGACAAATATCCTGGGTGCCGAAGCCTCCGGCACGCAGTCGGACAAACTGGGCAGGGATCAATCAATCAGTCAAGTTATCAGCTACAAACCGTATACCACATGCATATTGGTTCCAGCTGCTACAGTTCCGATCACCAGAAAACGGGAGGGTGTGACACATCCAGCCAAGTCTTGGAGATGATGAACGTGTTTAGTTTGTTCGGAAACTGGGTAGGTACGCATTGAAGGCGACAGCTTTGATGCATGAGCGCCACTGACCGCAAGATTGGGCCACTTCTGTTAGTGTCACTAACCGTTGATGAGGTGAGACCCAGGGCCCTCATCCAGAGAGGTGGGAGTTGTGGACCCGATTCAGTTTACCGGTTAGTGTTTTCATACTTCGTAGCCAGGTCATACACTGTCCACCTCTATGTCGGTTCTGCTCAGCACAGGGCTGAGCGAAAAGAGCTCTGCGAGGCAGGCGGTCTTCTGGTATGCGGAATACACTCTCCAACCAGCGTAACCTAGGAAGCGTAATTCATTTATCGCGATAGAGTTCCTTCTTCCTAAGACAATCTGGCGTACTTCAGCACTATCAATCCGATGTTCCCACCAGACCAAACCAAACCCTTTCGGTGCCTAGCTGCCATGCCACCCGAAGGAAGCACGAGGACGGGGATACTGCCACGTTGCCCAAACCTAGACAAGTCAAGATGCAGAGAGTCGGGTTTGAAACACGGACCTTCCGCTCTAACCACTGAGCCACCTCGCAGGTGTGAAGCGCACGCCAAACCGTGCGGCAGAGGTATTCAATCATCTGTATTTGGGAAGGATCTGAACCAAATGGAGCAATGCCGTCAACATACTCAATATCTGTGGGCAAACGTCCCGGGAGCATTTCGACTTCCGAAGTTTCAGAGGCACCCAGAGAATTTTCAAGCAGAACATCAACAAAAGTTTGAACAGAAAAGGTGAAAGAGGGCAGTCTTGCCTTAAACCAATAATCGTGGATAGAAACTGACATCCTGGACGCCAGTGATACCAGTTAGTCTGCATATCGTTCCAGCCAAACATAGGAAGTGTCACGTGGACCCCATCCTGGAAGGTGAACAGCATCAGCCGCGCCCAAACTTTCCATAACATCATTCCCTTCAGTCATACAGAATTCTGCCCACATCTAGGTTTTTGTCACTTCAAATCAGGCAAGAAAAAACAACGCCCTCCTCGGCAGGCGGTAATGGCGTGCAACACATGGCCCATCCACCTCAGCTTACATTGTTAGATGCATTCCTTGAGTGAAGTGTAGCCCTGCTTCCCCGAAGACTTCCTGATTCGCTGATGTGAGCCAATCCCAGACTTGATCCTAAGGCATTGCTAGTCATTTACCTGAAGATGTTTTATATCCCCTACCCGAATTGGCCAAGCCTCACAACCATACGGCAACACAGCCTGCAAGCGTCCTGTGAGACTCAGTAGTATGCCTTTTTGATTCCACAAGTGGCGCGAATTGGCAAGTGGTAGTACTGACCTCTAAGTTTGAAGCGTCAACTTCGTCTGTCACCTTCAGATCTAACGCAACTTGCAAGATATGAATAGTGATTTGAATCTGTGCCCAATTCATTGCCTACCATATGAATGGTGACCGACACCCACTAACCCTATTCTACGTGGCCAGGCGTTAAATGTAACTCGGGCAAAAATAGACTCAAAAGACCGGTAGTGCTCATGCTGCATTCCAAAAAAATCCTTCAGCACTCTTTTGGTGCCTAACTGCAATGCCACCATAAGGAAGCATAAAGGATGGGATACTCCCAGTCTGCCCAAGCCCGGACAGAAATCGAGATGTAGAAGTTGGGTTTGAACCACGGATCTTCCGACCAGTAAATTCGCGCTCTGACTATTGAGCCATCTCGCATTCCAGCTTACTGTCCACCATCGAAACTATTGTTAACCAAAAGTGCAAAGTGCTAACCGATAATGTGCTACGCCGGCTGATCCTACCTCAGGACATGCGAGGTCAATCTGCTACCCGATCTACTGCTTAATCCCACCGCACAGTTCGGTCTTGCGTAACCCGTTCAAATGCACATGGATCGGGCATCCACTCAGCCATCCTAATTCATTAAGATTCCAGTTACGCTTGTCAGGACTGATGCTTGGTTACTGTGACGAACATCTGAAACTTGGGTCCGCCAAGCAAACCGCGTGTGTTTAGGTGGAACGAAAGAAGTTTCTGCGTTGTAACGCTAGAACCAGACAGTCATTTAACGCTAACGTAACACACTGAAAACTACCAGTCTAGATACGCCAGTGAAGCATCAGTGTTGAACACTGATGTCATGCTGTCGATGATGAGGATGACCAGTCTAGAGCACATGTACACGCTAAAAAGCAGTGGTCCCCAGACTGGTACCTTCCTCTGAACGTGGAAAGGTGCGTCCATATATTATTCGGAGACTAGGCGAGCTCGTTTGTCGTGCCAGATGAGAATGGGCCGGAAGATATTACACAGACACCATAAAGGATCTAGGTAACCGGCTCTCTCCAGACTTGTCTCCTTTCACCGTGTGAGGCTGGGCAACCTGAGAGTATCTCAGTCCTTAGCATGGCAGATAGGCACCAAAGGGGTGCTACAGCTGAACCAGAAATAACAGCTAATCAGTCACCTGTGTACCGGCTCTCCACTAACGTGTAGACACCAGATGCCGGCTCTTTGTACGCTGCTCCTTTTCTACTATTCCCAACCCGTGCCAGCTGGCAACAAAAGGTTCTTGCCGTAGCCAGCCGAGGCGAGATATCTCAATCCCCAATCGACCTGTCTCAACCAGTGAATATTACACATAGTTTGTTTCGTAAGATTTGATTTGGGTTATAATACAATTAACCAAGTGGGATTTGACAATTATTTCCTTTAAATGCACTAGACAGGAAGCAATAAAAACTGAGCACAAATTTATAGAATGGGACCGATAGCAATGAAATGAATTTCAGTTTATTTAGTCAACTCGATGCATAAACCACTAGTAGAACCAGCTACCATTACCGGTCGCAAGAAAAGTACATCATATATTACGCATCTACTCACATATTCGCAGGATTGTCGCCAAAACAGTGCCACAACAGGCAGCAAACCAAAACGAACGCGCAATTTTAAAAGTGGCGCGCAAAATGGCGCACAGTGCATTTTAACAAAAACGGTGACGAATTCAGTCAGCATCGTCGTTGGACGTTACGGAATGCTTTCGCTGTTTGGTATGTGTTCATATAGCAGAATAGTGAGCGAATAAGCATCCAGCGGTGGGTGATTGGCAGGTGTCCTGGCGACTCGCTTAGCCGCGTCATCCATTGGTGCAATCCTAGATACCCATACCTCGGCTCATTGGGCCATGCTCATGCGCCTATGCGGGCGATAGGCCGTCGTTGCGGCGACAACCGACCACCAAGAGCTGTGGTGACGTATGGCACGAAGTCGCGTTAACGATACTTTAAGAGAATTGGACAATTCGGTGCGTAGAAATCCTCGACAAATAGGCTGTCAGATCAGTTTTCGCCAGCAGGCCAATGAGGACATTCGTCTTGAGAGCGTTCGTCCCAGCGCTTACCGATGACCAATCGTGATACTTGTGCATCCACGACTGCAGCTTGGAGGGTAGACATTCTATCTGTTGGCAGATTTGATGCCAATTGGATCCTACATCCAGCAGGCAAGACCAAAACAGATGAGAATGCCATAGGTTCACGGAATGTTTCGGTCTGGTGTGATTGGATCAAGTACGAAGAAAAAGCTGATAGGCTGGAATGCATTTACCACTAGCGCTGAAGCAAACGAGTATGGTCTGCACTGCTGGTCCGTTTGGTTTGCCGTCCAGCAAACTACGGTGTATGAGTGTGCCAACCGTTTTCCAGCTTTGTTCGCTAGTTTACCCGGTCGTTGCCGGAAGGATGAGGTGGAGGTATCGGAACTCCAATCTAAATGACCTTTCAGCAACACACTAGGAATTAACCGTTTTCTTGACAAGTGACCTAGCTGAAGACCCTGACAATTCGTTCCAAGGCCGCTTTTCCTTGTTGCTGATAAGCTGTAAACTTTCAGGACCTATTAATCCATACAAAGGGGACAAGCTGTCAATTTATGCTAGACATTTTTACCACTCCCGGTTATTGGCTGCTTTGTCTCCCAGCTGTGAAAGTACTCGTTAGAATCGGTTGAAGTAGTATCGGCTCCCCACATGTCGAAAAAGCATTTTGCTAAGACTCAGCCTGTCGCCCGTTAAGAAACAATGAAGCATGGTAAATCCTCGCTTAAGCCAACGGTGGACCTTATTTAATGTACTCAGGTGACGCTCGTATTTTTACCTGAATACCTAATCGGTAACACCAACAACCCGACATCTCACTGAGTCCAACCACACCTTCAGCATGAGAAAGCGCATTTGCAGAATAGTGCGAGAGTGGTACCGCTTATCTCGATGAGTATATGCGGTGGTCAGTAAACAATGGTTCCCGGAGGCTCATCCTATCTTATAGCCGAGGTTTTTCTGTCATGACACTTTTGACTGTCCGTCGTGCATACAATCGCACTGGTGAGCTTTCCAGGGCTCTAGTCTATTTAATTTTCCCGATTGAAACAGGAGAAAACAGTGACGCGAGCGATGCTGTGTGTAAAGCATTTTGCAGTGAAGATCTACCTTGACGTGGACTAGATACGGCAACAAGCACCAAGCGAAGGACAAAACCTTTGGCTTAGCTTTTATACTTTACTTCCCGATAGCTAAAATGTCTTCCTCTTCTCTCTAGAGGAAAGATGTGACTATGAAACTCGGGACGCGTAAGTAATGATAGCCACATTCGTGGCATCCGAAATGTCAGTGCGAAAAACTTCGGCGAATTCGCTATCAGCTAACATGTTGTTAGTGTCACCTGTGGATGCTGCGAAATTACTGCCGGGCCCATGAAAATCTCACCGCCAATAGGAACACCCCTTCAGAGGGTCTCTATCATTTAATCCGACATATGATCTGTGCTGGCCGGCATATGAGTCACTGAAAGCCCTTGCTAGTCTAGAGATTTCCCAATGTCAGTACGAATAGCTTTAAGCAGATATCTTTGTTAAGTTCATTTTTAAACTACCTTGGGTTTATAACGTGGATGAAATGTGATTGGGAGCTTTCCTAACTGCTTGCAAAATGCATAGAATGCTTAGTAAATTGGTTAGCGACAACTATCCGTTGAAAAACAGTGCTTTCTCTCAAGTTTCGACCCGAGATAGGAAAATTCATTTTACCTCACAGCTCCGGCACAATCTTCGTATAATTATCCTCCCCAGTAGTTTATTTTGCGTTCTGTCGAACAGCATATCTGATGTCTAATTTTTTTGTCCACGGCTGAGTACAACTGGTCTCATTCGCTCCGTATCCACTCCCTCTCATCCTGGGAAAGATATGACTTTCGAGAGGAACGACGTGAAACAATTTCGTAAACCCAGCAAAGTTTGTCGTTTGATCATGTGGTCAGTGGAAAACGGATACTATCTATTACTTGTATAAGACCCTGTCTATACACCTGTTATGTACTATCCAAACCATTTCTAACGTGTGTGTGTGTGTGTTTTACGAACCAACCAATTATAACGTGTGTGTGTGTGTGTTTTACCTCAGCTGTCAACAAAAAGTCGGCAGAAGGGTGCCTGGCATTCTCCTTTACAGTAATCAAAACGAAAGACCCTGATTTCCAGCGCAAGAACGACATGTGAAAGTCTACCTCAGTGAAGTCAAAATGTGTTTCGGCATCTGCAACGTGATCTCTGTTATTCCCGTTTACTGCATATCCAACACAAAGTAAACTGACAAAGGGGATCGTAAACTGCTGCTAAGAAATAATACCCTCATACGTTCTTGTTTACAGCAAACCCGAGTGTATAAAGCGTAAAGAATTCCGCTAGTTCAGACGGGTTGCGCGTTATTCCAGTACGTTATCCATAGAACATCAATATCGGTATCGCGTTATCACTAAGGTTCTCGATTAGATGCCCCCTTAAAGCAAGTGTGAAATATGTTTGGCTCTGAAATACTGTCAACTAGTATATCAACCCACGTTTATTATCTGCTGCACACTAGAGGTAACAGAATCGTGTAATAAGGTCCACGCTGACTTTCCACTGCTAGCATATGCACCAAAAGGCGAAAACTGAGTCAATGCGACTGAGAAAATGAACCGCATAACCGCAAGAATCAGAGCCACGAAGCAAGTGCAGGTAGATTCAGAAAGGCTTGGTAAACGATCGGTAGATTTTATTTGGGCCACGTCTCACTTTCGACGCAAAAGCTTCATCAGGCCGAGTGAGCAGGTCAACAAATTGGCCAGGCTTTAAGGCAGACAGGGAACCAATCAGATTACCACACTAGATCAGTTTTGAGTGTCACTTAACGGCTCTTTTCGGTTAGCGTGGTTGTCAAATTCTTGCGTTGATGGACTTGGATAGCTTCAAATTAGATCTGATCGGTATGCATTTGTAATGCACTACTCATAAGGTTGCTGAAAATCCGTCGACAGCCCACGACCGGTTTCACCCTTTTTGGGGCTCATCAGGTAGGCGCAGTCACCTGGAAACACCACAAACGAGAGATTCAGCTGGGGTGAGTCCCTCGAAAAACCAAATTAGTTTGCAAATGAGTATATATTCGCTAATTCTGATCGAATTTGGTTTCTCAATATTCCACTTCAGGGTGCTTCAGTTGATGATTCAACTCGAATGCCACTGGTAGACTTTCCTCGGTCTTTGTGGGGTTGTGAGTACTGCGACAATTCAGTTTGAGGGGAGGGGTTGAGGTCAAGTGGAATTCATGTAATGACTACTCCTTCTGATGACCGCATAACAACACGTATCAGCTCGACTGATCAAAAACCGTTCTCCACACACTTGTCAGTTCCACGCCTTCTACTCTATCAACACTGGGATGCTTGGCGATTTCTACCGCCTCGGCGATCAGTCCGTGTGACGTGGACCGTAGTCCTCCCCTCAAAACCTCAACATTTTCTGAATCTATTTACTGCCCCGTGTCTAGTGTGTTCCGCGATTGCCGAGTCTTTCAGGAACGCTTGATATTCATACGCGTTTCTCGGCTGCCTGTTTATTTTTCTCCTATGCTTTCCGATTCTGTTGTGAAGTTTCCTAGCCGTCTGTCCTATATAGACCTTAGTGTAGTCGTTACACTTGATTTTGTAGACACAGTCCCCGGTTATGTTTGCCGAGAGGTGACCCTGCACAAGTGCAGAGCACAGAGTACTTCCCCTCTAGAAAGCTACTGTTATGTTAGCAGTGTCTAGAATTCTTCAAATGACCTCCGATGTCCCTGGTTTATATGGAATAGTAGCTGTTCCAAGCCATTCTCTTTTGGGTTTCGCCAGCGGTACCAGCACCCTTCGTAAGTGATGCCTAATCAAACTAGTTGGATATCAACTACCCCGAAGTTTGTTCTTTACTTCAATTTGGGCCACTGTACGGACAACCTCTTCTGTGCGCAGGGCCCTTACACGCTTGTTGAGGTAATGCTAGTCTGTATGAGACAGCATCAGTGTGTGCCAGAAACACGTGCATCAGTGACAATTGTGCAACCTTATTCCAATGTTTGTACAAATAGAACTCGAGTAGGTTCTATTATGAACTGCTCCACTTGAGTTCACTTCATATAGATGGACTGAGTACTGAGTACGATTTACTCTGGAAAACAGATTAATATACCTCTTGAGCAGTGTAGTGAGCAGTGAGCCGATAGGCAACCTCTATAGAGAAGCAGTAAATACCTGGTCATCTTCCATTTATATCTCCATACTTGAACTGATTTCATTAAACTCAAAACAATTACTGAGATTTTAATGAATAATGAATCGGTGCTGGCTAGAAATGTCTACTTCAGTTATTTCATCCGGGTGATAAAAACGCCTGCATTTCAGACCAGTTTCACAGAGACACGGATGTTGGAACAAACAGGTGAACAGACTTCTGATTGTAGGTCAAGACTCTGTATGGGAGAACCCCAGTGAGGACTAAATATATAAAGGAATGTCAGCTTTTTTCTCCGGATGAAATAGACGCCACGAAGGGTACACCAAGGGTTCAGAAAACATGTCAAGCACCAATCTGATGAGTGTATATTCGCTAATTTTGTGCAATTTGTTTACAAGTAGAACATAAGTTTGACGGAAACCCGGGGACTGCGTCTACCTGATGAGCCCCAAGAAGGGCGAAACCGGTCGTGGGCTGTCGACGGATTTTCAGCAACCCTTATGAGTATACATTACAAAGATATACATGTCAAGCACCCTTATTTGGAACACTTGCCAACCTACAACATGAATTCTGCACTGGTTTTACTGTGTTAGGTCTAATAGTCGTGGGGATTGTATCTTAGCGTGGCAATCGTCATTCACAGCTGAAGGTTTGAGGACA